ACACACACACACACACACACACATACACACTCACACGCACACACTTAAACACCTACTCAAACATATTATCATACTATGATATTTATCATCGTCATCATAATAACACCAGTCTCCACACATTTTGCAGTCTTGGGTATTACATGATCTAATTTAATTTGGGGTCGCTGGTTTAGAATGGCTTTAGTTTTTGCGTATCCTGTCAACTTTTTTAAAGTCGATATGACAAACTTCAGGGTTTGACGTACAGCTTAGCCTGTGTGATTTCAAACCTCACTCTAATTAATGAAACATGTTGAATCATTAGATATGTGACTTTTCATCTACAATTTTGTTCATGAGCTGAATTATCATCCCCATGTTCCTCAAGCAGAGTTAACTGTTTGATGTTTTTGTCGTCTGTCCACAGGGCGCCTTTGTGGCTCTTGTCTTCTGCTTCTTCAACCGCGAGGTGAGAGAGGCGATCACAGTCCGGGACACTGTCCGCTCTGCCCCAGCATCTTTCCCTCTGTACCTACACTCTTACTCCATATTTACTTCATAGACTCATTGTTTCTTCAACTTATTCATCTCACGGGCTGTAATTATAAATCATACTTTTTTATACGCCGCGGTTAAATTTGTCTTCATTGAATGGTAGCTCTAATATTGTCATGTATGTAATAATAAGGTGTAAAAAACGGGATTTTTGTGTGGTGTCGCAAAAAAAATGCGATATAATTTCTTTCTTTTTTTTTTAGCAATGGTAGAATCTGAGAACGATGTATAATTATGGCCCTGTCTAAATCTTTTATTCGTTCATGTTTTCTTGCTACATTGTACTTATGTTTTTCTTTAAGTTCAGTTCATAGGACCAGTGGCTGTTTTAATGACGAATATCAGAGCGTAACGTGACATTAGTTTAATAATGTATAGTTTTGCAGCACATTTTCAGAAAAGGGGTGCAAGAGGGTAGTTATAAACACTATATATACTCGTTTCATTCTGTTTAGCTGTCGTTGGCAAGAATCGAAAGTGTGGGAGTATCCACAGAGTGTAACCCGTATTTTCTAGAGGTTTTGCCTTTGTTTTATGAAAGAGAGGCGGCATGAATAAAAGATCAGTTATTGGGCAATAAATATCCCCAGATTTACAGCATCTCACTTATTTTTGCGCAATATAAAGCATTGATATAAGTGCGAGGTCTATTGTGCTTTGAAGAGAGGTGAAAACAGAAAAGAAGAATTATATTTTCTGGCTTCAGATATATACGTTCATTTTCAAGTGTGGCAATTTGAGAGCTAACCTTGTCCTGCGCGGAAAAGATTTGAAATAGCTGCTATCAAGAGTGAAGAATGCCCAGATCACTCACTGTTGTTCTGAACGTCCAGCCTGTGGGCTCCGAAACTCTTCAGCAATACTGACTCCAACACTTTAAAAAATACATAATTCTGAAGAGCCTCAAGAGGCCAAAATAATCACAAACGGAGCCTTCAAAGCTAAAGTGCGTTGTTATGTAGCCAGAACAGTCACTTTATTTAATCTTTAAAACTGTTTTTTACGAATAGCCTCTTAGACGTCCCGCCAAAACTGAGCTCAGTTTTGAATGGTTAGCTTTTTGTGAAATCTGTCGTTGGTTTTCTTTTTCCTTCAGTTTCAAAAGCTTGCTGTCCTCTGTGTCTCTAGGTATGTTTCTGTTTTGTTTCGTAAATATGTTGTTGTTTTTTGTTTGCCTTATTTAAAGACCTTGTTTCTCGACTTGTAGTAGTACGTCTTGTATCGTTTATGAGGTAAATCAGCACTGGGCATGATGGCGTGGGTGTTGTTGTTTTGTTGTTTGCCTACGGGTGGAGATGTCATTATTTATCTTGATATTGTTTGAATACGTTCTGTGATTGTTGAGGGTGTTGTTGAAAAGTATCATTTTTCTGCTTACTTCTTTTGTTGTGAGTTTGCACTCCCACAATACTTACTAACTCTTATTTATAATTTCGGTAGGTTCTGTTTTGACTAATGAGTAATAAGAAGGGGCGTGGAGGATTTGATTCTTTTTTTTTAGTACGTTAAAATGACTTTTTTTCTGGATTGTCAGAGGCATATATAAAAGATAACAATGTCCCAAGGGAATGAATTGATTGGGTCTCCATGTAAGAACAAATATGTTCTTTTTTTCTGTAAATCTTGGCAAGCCAACATTAATTAGCTTGATTAAAGGTGCTGAGGTTCTTTTTTGTTCTATGTTTTTGCATCCTTTTATTACATGCCGAGTCTTTTGTCTTTGACATTCTGTTTATACAAATGACTTAGTTGTGTACTTCTTTTGATTAGACCTTTCAGTTTCTTTAAAAAGGGGTGGAGCACAAAAAAGGGGAGGCGGGCATTTATAGAAGACCACACAGAAGAAAAAGGAACGAGTGTGTGATTAGTTAACGCATGGTCTATGATTTACATCTACCTTCTTCTTGTTTTTTTTTGGGGGGAGGGGGGTATTGTGCGTTTTTATTTCCTTGATTTCTTGTTTCCATTGTGATATTGTATATGCCTTCATAGTGCTTACAGTGTATTATTTTCAGACTTCTCTGTAGCCTCAAATATCAGGAATCTATTCTTACGAGCATATCATCATTATTATATACATTTCTGCCCTACATGTATTTGAATCTGACTTGTTCGCGTAGCTAAACAACTAGAGGCAAAAAATATGAACTCGAACGACTTCAGGGTGACCAATTCAGGACATTCCTTCCGCTGCTACACTGTGTGCTAAATTGTACCAAAGTTGTGAGGTATTTCCCTGGCTAACTGTTACTTTCTAGAACTACGGTTAGCAGCAAACAATGCTTTTCACGCTCCTGCGTTTCAGGCCAGTCGCCTAGAATTTGTCAGGTTCTCAAGCGAAAGTCTACGGGCGTCACTTGCAGCGCTATAGTGGAATGAAGCTTTAACCCTGACTACAAGCGGACTGCCTCCAAACTTGATTATTCTTAACACCGTGTAGGGGGAGAAAAACAAAGAAAGCTTGTCGGCCAGAAAACGCGCCCTTTTGACAGATCGAGAGCACCTTGATTGTTTGGACGCCGCTTGAGTAGTAGTTGTTCTAGATACAAGACACAATATCCTACTTCGGGAAACGAGCATAATTCCATTTACAGGCTGTTTCTGTTTTATTCTGTCTTTTAAAGTGCGCTCCAATGAGTAATAGAGCATTAGCATCCCTATGCCATCCGTCTCACCTGAGACTGAGAAGAGCCCTTTAGCTGCGTTGATTGCACGGCCTTCTAATTACAAAAGCATTCAAGAACAGTTTCGTCTTACAGAGTGAGTACGTCAACGGATTGAAATCTAAGTTCTGGGGAGGAAATGTTGACCTAACCTTAAGCAAGGAGACCCAAAACTATGGGAGCCCGGAGGACCCGCGGCGAACAGCAGCCTTTGCACCAGAGACTTGGATATCCATTTACAGATGATCGAGAAGAAGAAGATCTATGTTTTGTCTGTTCATCTCAATTTAATGAGAAATGAACGCAACCAAAACCTTCCGGAATCAAGAAGGGTTTTTCTTTTCTTTTTTTTTGAAATCTGAACAAAGACACATATCCAGTGACAATTAAGGTTTGATTAGGTCAAATGACACGATAAATTTTCGATTTTTTTTTCAACAGGAAAGAATAAATCTTGAAAGTGCAGAATGAAATTTGAGAATGTATTAATAAATGGTTACCTGTTCATATTTCATCCTAAGAGGAGACTTGCTTTCACGAGTGTCTGCACCTTAAAGTACAATTTAATATACACCCATCTAACACACAAACAAGCTCTCATATTACGTATAGTATCACTTGAAATATGAACCTTCAGGACTTATATTGACGCAATGTTTATTTGTTATGTTATGCATTCGTATTTTATTTTCCATATTTGTCCCTCGACTTCCTATTTTATTTTTTTTATTTTGCAACAATCGTGACGTGCATGTTCTATTTTGTGCCTCAACTGTGTGAATTTACTGTAGACTTTGATTGTAGTTGGCGGCAGAGTAAACATTGTTGATCGGATTAAAGTCAACCTATGTCTCCGACGACAATAGTACATACTCTTCTACAAACTGATTTAAAAACATTCGTTCAGACTTAATTCCTGTATGGAAGAAGTACGCGTTTGGGGAGAAGAATCATAGTTTCAAGAAGGTCTATTCTAACTCAAAACAGATCTTGATCTACTATTCACGTCTCCTTTCTCAGTGGAGCCACTTTGGGTCGCCATGACGTCATGGGCGAAAGATGCATTAACATAATAGAGTGGATTGAAATGCATTTTACCCTGTAACCTACAACCATAAAAACGAATTTTCAAACATTCCAAAATGAGGATGTTTAGACGGAAGGGCGTAAAGCTCACTTTATGTCTTCCTGCCAGCTAGAAAGCTATTAACGTAAATTACATGATGTTTACCAAATGTCCCTCCTAGCCGTATCAAAGTTGAGCATCAGTTTTTTATGATTTAGGCTGTACATTAGGGGCAGATATTTATTCCTGTATCAGTCGTATTTGAAAGTTCTTATGCAGGCTTCGATTCAAGGATGAAGTGTGTAAATAAGTCCAGTTATCGTAAAAGTTTAATAAAATTAAATATTATATAACCTAATGTGCAAGAGCACGCAAGTCGAGGCTTCTCTTGGTGAGTGAAGAGTTGAAGAGGAGGAGTAAGAAAGCATAGTTTCATTGGGAGGTGGTGGAAGACGATGACAAGGCTTGATTCAGTATTGTGTTAATATTGCATGAACGTTGATGGAAGGCCTTCATTTCCCTCTGCCTCATTATCAATCCTTCTCCCTCTTTCTCTCTCTCTCTCTCTCTCTCTCTCTCTCTCTCTCTCTCTCTCTCTCTCTTTCTCTCTTTTTTCTGTTTTCTTTCTCTCTCTTTTTCTCTCTACCCCTCTCACTCTCCCTCTGTCTATCTACCTATCTATCTATCTATCTATCTATCTATCTATCTATCTATCTATCTATCTATCTATCTATCTATCTATATATCTATCTATCTATCGCTTCTCTCTCTCTATTT